TTTATTAAGAACTAAAGAAGGTTGAAGTTTAGTACAATACGCATGTTCGGATTTCAAAGAAAGACAATGTGATTAGTAGTCATGTTTAACTCCATAACCGGGGCGCAATCAGGGCACTGGGCTGAACTGGGCCGGTTTAAAGAAAATTTTAGAAAAAAGGTTTACACGGAATTTTTTATACTAAAAATTTAAACAATTTTAAAATTTGGGCTTGGTCAGGGCTGACCCTCCCCTAGCTCCGCCCCTGTGCATAACCGAGTAATACTGTAATTATTTTACGTTATAATCAGGGCAGCCCTAGGGAAGGGTAGGGGCGGGAGCAGAACGCACCGGATTATGCTAGACAAGTACAAGTAGTTTTTAGATAAATTTTCAATGAAATTTTTTGAATTTGGGGTGAGTACGACCTAGGTTGGCCCCTAGCTTTGCCATAGGGCAAGAGCCTAGGCCCATCCATCAAGAAAGAAAAAGTTTTAGGCCCAATATTTACCAGGTGATAAATTCATTTTTGTGCAAATTACCCGTATAGTCTACATTTGCACTTAGTATTTCATTTATGTCCACCGAAACAAAACTTTTCATTTTTAACTTTCAATATTTCACTTTTAATTCCTTTATTTCAAACAAAAGTCTAAATGCTAAGACTAATAACTCCAGAAAAAATCAACCTGCATCGACCTTATATCCCTGAAGCTTCTGTTCATCTTCCTCAAACCGCCTCTCTCAGCGACTTCACTTCGCTCCCTCTGTCCATCTCAATTCATCTTCCTCCAGTATCGAAATGAACCAAGCGAAGCATTGAAGGTCCGAAGCGGTGAATCGGTAACGAACGAACTGTCAGTACATCCATACTCACTGCGAGTTGAACTGTTGCAGTAGACAAGGTGAGACCTGCTGCCACTCACGCCGGTCAGCGTTCACCGCTTTGGTGGATTTCGACCTCGTTGTTGCTCGCTGGTATGAATCAGGTGGATTTGAGGTACATCTTCAATAAGCTTTGAATAATCGTCAATTTTTAGGAAGTTGACTGTACACCGCCACCGCATCCCCTCGAAATCATTCAAAAATTAAAATGAGACAAATTGGAAGACTAATTAGCTCAAATCCTTGTATAAGGTGTTTTACAATTCTATCGATATCTAGATAGAGTAATATCAGGTATGGAAGTTTCACTCTCCATAGCCAGAAGGGATCTACTGGAATTGATATGTCCTGAATAATTACTAAGCCAATGCCATGTAGTCTTTTTTAAATATTTGTTAGCCAATATGCTAAATGATGCCAAGTGATTGTTTAGGATAGTACTCCGTATGTGTTTGCCTTTTTTGTTGCAATTAATTGATGGTTTTTCCGTGTTGGTGAATGCATGAGATTTCTATGATGCCTCCTTTATTTGACAAATAGATAGTGGTATGAGTTTTAAGGTTCCTGCATATCATTGTTTGGTAAAAGTGTAAGCATAGTAACAACAACTCCATATGTTATACCTTTGACCAATCTAAAATATTACGGAGTAATTGATAAATACATGAAAATGAGAATGCTAGTGATGATGAAAGTGCATATAGAACAAAAATATCTGGGTGTTATGGTTCTCTTTTAAAAAATTGTAACAAGCAATTCCTTAGAGCTCCAAGTGTATGTTTCAAAAGAAAAGGCTCATGTAGGCATTATTTGATGGTTTTTTTCAATAATGATAACTCGGTGGCAAACACTTGACCTACAAGTACAATAAATAGAAATGACAAACCCACTAGGATATGCCTATGTATGAACCTTTGCAGATTGGGAAGGCTGAGTCTCTGAATCTGTAATTTGGTCACTTCGGGATCAATATTTGACTTATTTAGACCTATTGATGGCAAAAGTCATGTGAGCAGCTTGGATGCATCAGAGGGTGACTTGACAGAGAATGCATGGGATTAGGTACATTACTAATTACTAACTATTTTTATGGCCAACTTATCTTATACTTTAAGAGGAAATTCATACAATTACTCATTAGCTCCTATGATATTTGTATGTGGTAAGGGCTAGTATGATTTTTGGTTATTTTTATTTTATCCCGGTTTGCAAGAAGAAAGTGCTCTATTGCTATGAATTCTTCAAGTGATTTACAAGGTTCTTGTTTGTTCTTGATATGGCTGCGATGTTGAATCTTAACTTTAGATTAAGTTTTTTGAAACTATTGGGAGCCCTTCACTGTTTCGAGTGAGTTTAAGGGGGGTGGGGGTTACTCTAGCTCATTATTTCATATATAATTCACTAGTCTGCCTAGTTGAGTTATTATTCACCTGAAAGATTGATATTTTGCAGGGAGGAAGTGTCACCAAAGTGCATTGAGAAAAAAAGTAATGGCATATGAACCACATGCATTCGCGATTTGGGAGAATTTAATGAGGCACACGACTCACAATAACACTGATATGAGTAAGGGCAACATACCAAAGAAGGAATGATAAGAATCAAGACCAAATAATATACTCTTTAATAGATAAATGTACTAAATTGGAACAATAGATTGAATTATATACTCGTTGTGATATTTTTATGTATTGTTTTTGTTTCTTCTTGTTGTATCACGTGCATTGTTTTTTGTTGCATCGTGTTGCAGTTTGTTGCAACATGTTTCGTTTTGTTTCACTTTGTTTCTTATTATTGTTTATTGGTGATTTAGAATTTTTATGTTTATTTTAGTTTCTATTTATGTTTTCTAATTCCTCCAAACAAAAATATCTATATATTTTTTATATACAACACCAATATAAATTATGATTTGTGAATATAAACAACTAGAAACATAAAGAAACAATAAGAAACCAATATTCCGAGTTATAAACAAAAAGAAACAATATGAAACAAAAAACTAACAACAAAGCAATAATTGTAATTTAAAAAAAATCAAGTTCTTATTAAGAAATATGGAGTAATACATTACAAATTTCATCTTTTTTAAAAAATCATTTTTTAATATGTTTCAAGTTCACTATTTTAGATTTTGACGTTTTTATTTTCCGAGTTTTTAAATTTTACTCTTTGGTTACATTAAATTTCTGTTTTTTTTAATTTTGGAATATTTGTTTTCATTATTAATACAATTAATTTTATTTTTTTAAGTATTTTTGAAAATTTTAAATATAAAAATTGTATTTCTAATATTAATATTTTCCAGTTTATTAAAATAACCACTTCATCATAAAAGTTTGCAATTACTTTTTTAATAATTTCAAAACATTATTACATAATTCAAAAATGTTATTTATAAATTTAATGTTTATTATATTTTTTTTTGACTATTTTGAACTTGTATTAAACTTCCGATTTTTTTATATTTTTGACATTTTACATAATTTATATCAATCATACTAGTATTAAATATTAAAAATTTGAAATATAAAACTCATATTTTTAACCTTTTTAAAATTTCACACATTTTTTATAACTATTTTAACCTTTTTATATGTTTACTTTTAAGTTTTCCATATTTTTTTTATTTTTCTCATTTATTTTATAAAATTTAATTTAATTTTTTTAAATTTTTAAATTTAATACGAAGTATACAGTTTTCTGGCGATTTTTACTTCGAGCTGTTTATGTTTTTTTAAATTCAGGTTTTGTTTTAATTTTTTTACTTTCTAAAAATTATTATCCTTTTTAATTCTTAATGAATACTTTCATCTTTCTATTTAAAAATAAAAAAATATTGTATCAACACTTTCTACGGAGTATTAGTTTGTGGAAGTATGATGAGTAGTGATTCAAATTTGTATGTACATGCGTCAGGACGCAGGAGAAGATTCCAGTAGCAAAGCTTCATGCGAACGAATGGCGGTCTGTTTTTGAAAACAAAGTTTTAAGCAGACCATGTTTGAAAACTACATTTAAAAATGAAAAACGTGATATTACTTTCAATATTTGTCCGTTTGCGAAAAATTCCCTTCATTTTTAGGTTCAAAAATTAGTTTTTTCATCGAGCCTTCGAATGATTAGGATCATACCAGTGAAATTTGTAAACAAACGGGGCTTTTCCTGCTAAGTATTAATAGGCTGATTTCTTCGACTTTAATGTAGTAATAGACTAATTTTTTTCTCCCTTTATTTTTTTCGTTAATAGTTTTGCTTATGTCTTTAAGTTGTGAATGCATGTGTTTTGTCTAATTATGTATTGATGTATTTCTAGAATTTTTATTTCCAAGTTTTGAAATTGTCAAATACTAAAATTGTTAATGCATTGAATTATTTATAGTTATTTTTAGTGTTGTTTAGTTATGTAATCATGTACTTTAATTTTTTTATTAAATAGCTTCGTGAAATATTTAAACCGCAAAATAAATGTTTAAGACGATAATATGGTAGATAGCATGATGAAATAACATGGTAAGAGTAACATCTCAAGTAGAGATAGACAATACTAGACCATACACTACTAGAGACTTACACCAATCAACCTAGATCGAACTTAAGTAGATCAGATAAGACTAGACTAAACTTAAATAACAACAAAATGCACATATTACAAGACCAAACCTATATAGATCGGACTTAAGGAATTCAGAGTAAATGGAATTAGACTAAACCAGAATTAAATGGATTCAATTTATATACTGTAGTACTGATCAAGAAATTTTCAAAATCTGAGTTAACAACTTATGTGTTACTGTCTACATACAGAGTATGATGGTCCCTGATAAAAGTCTGGGGGGTGAATAGACCTTTAATTCGACCTAATTGATTCATGTAAAAGTAATAGGACTCAATTGATTTTTTGTGAAAGTAGTGAGACCTATTATTTGAGAGTTTTCTCATCTAAAAAATAAACTACTTCAATAAGGCTTAAGGAAAGCTAAAAAAACATCAAACAAAACTCAAATTTAAAATACATTATTCAACGAAATGTAGAAAACCGAACTACCAAAACTTTGAAGGTGAATCTAGTACAAAATTTTAAAGAGCATCGAAAAGCTCTCTTATGAAATCATACGAGTATCTCATAGACTCATCCTCCATTTTTAAGTGGAGTCCTTACATGTGTCACAATACCGACTCAAGGAGTCGTACGATCTCCATAAGTCTACTCGAAGCTACAACGTAATAAGTAAAAGAGCTCAGTCTTGTATATCAAATTTAATTTGCTTGAACACCAGAATTGGTGGATTTGTTACTGCCATTATTGTTGGTGTTGGACTTTGTAACATTGGCCGGATCTGATGAATTTCCGATCAAGGAAGAAATGGCGGCTGCTATAGCAGCCGTGAAGTTCGGGTCGCCAGCCATGGAATTGATCGTCTCAAGAAGCCGAGCAGTGACATCAGATCCTGCGATTTGGTTCTGATTTTCCCTGTTCTGCGACAATTGCAGGCCTGAGAATTTCGACTGCGAAAATAAAGCTTGCCCAAAAACCTGCGGCGTCAATGGCGGTGGAAATTGGAGTAGATTATTACTGTTATTATTATTTGTGGTTTGGGTTAGATCTAGCATGACGGTCGGGAATGGGGCAGAGGCTGAGATTGTCGCCATGCTTGACGAGCACGGGAATAAAGCGGTGGCTAACATGTTTGGGATGATTACGCCGTCGGCGCTTTGCAGGGATCCGGAAAGCAGCATCTTCGTCGCCGATTGGGTTGTGGACGCCATAGCCATGGCGGCCGGCGGCAATGGGTGGTTGTGATTCCCTTCATAGGTTGTTATCAGAATTGTTCGGTCTTCTGCGCATCTCTGTACCTATCATTCAATCGAACAAGACAACATAAGTTGCATATTAAGGATAAATTGAACCGTTCCAATTTAGAGCCTCTTTTACTAATATGGATATCGGCCTAATTGAAATGATTGAATTGGTTAATTATGTTGATTTATGAAAAACAACTACTCCCTCCGTTCTTCAAAGTTTGTCACATTTTGATTTTTTCAGTCAAACTTGTTAAATTTTGACAGCTAATTACTCAAAATTAATTATATTTTATCCCCAAAAAATTATTTAATGTGATTCTTTATAATATGTATTATTCAAATGTCAATTTATTATAAATTTTATAAATATATATTAATAGATAATTACGGTCAAACGTCTATCTAGAAGACCGCAAAAGTCAAAGTGTGACAAACTTTGTGGGACGAAGGGAGTATGATATAATTTATTAATAAATAAAGCAAAATTATATGAAAAATAGTTAGATGGTCGTCTAAGTAACTTCAGTCAATACAGTCAGAAAAGTATCTCGAATCGTACTTTTCTTATAATTACACAATTCAGTGCGCGAAATCAAAATTACGCTTTTGATAAAAAAATTGACTAATAAACCTGAATCATGATAAACCGAAAAAGAGGTAATCAAATAGGCTTTTACTAAATGTACATATTAAAAAACATCTCACAAAATTAAGCTTATGGTTTGATGTGGTAAATATACAAAACAAGAGGGCAATTCATATTAACAGATCTATATCAGAATTGCTGTGCGGAATCCATTTGAGGTGTTTTCAGGTCAAACTTTTTATGAAATTATGTGAGAATATAATGTTATTCATGTGGTATAGATTATGTCGAATGTCGATATAATTCCAGATTAAAATTCAATTACAAAGTTAATTAAATAAGTTATTGAAAAGAATTTGCGCATTATATATATATGAACATATGCCTATATAAGTGAAGAAACATACTTGCTTCCTAACTGGGCAACCGGTCGCCATGGTGCACCGGTAATATGCTCGAGGGCAAGGGTTCCCTTTTGCTAATTTCTGACCATACTTACGCCATTGGCAGCCATCTGTGATCTGATTATCATAACAATGTTTATATATAATGTAAACAAAAGAAAACAGAACTCATATAGTCATATGCACAAATTTGTACTCCGTATATCATTGTTTAATCTTAACATAGAAATGATTAAACAATGAATAAAAGTGTGATTTAATTAATAAAAATATTTGAAACCTACCTATTCAGATTACACGAGTGTTAGAGAAATGATGATGGTCTTAATTATTTACAAAATGTACTATGCATTGAAAGAAAGTGTGATATAATCTATTCATCTATATAAAAAAAAGCATAGGAAATATCCCAGGTTGGGTTTTTTGGGACCGTATTTGGCCGATCCCGATTCGATTTTTTTTTTTTTTGCATTTCAAGAATTTAAAACATTTGAAGAACTGAAAGTCTATTTAAAAGGTAAAAAAGATAGGGAGGAGCTTGGGAATTGAAGCTTAAAAACATATACATTAAAATTTTTGGGAAAAAGGACCAGATCAAGAAAGGAAATGCGACAAGATGGGAGGCAATAACTACAATGACTGACCAGCGTTGATTTCGATTTAAAATTAACATATACTTCGTATATACTTTTCAATACTACACATCTCTTATTAATTAGTTATCTTTAACTTTTCAAGTCAATTGTGATGAACTTTAGTTAATCGTTGAAACTTGAGAATGCTTAAGAGGAAAGGAAAAGTGCAAGAGACGCTAGTAAATACGAACCATTGGTGAATCGGATCGAGCCCTAACGCAGACACGGGCCTTCCTCATGGTTGCCTCGGTGGCTGCAGCCTGATCACAACCACTTTCCTCAAGTGTCGGCGCAACCTTGTTGGCTCCCCAACCAGATGATGAAGACCCCTTCTCGGGGCTGTCTTCTCCAGATGCTGACGATCTACAAGCTCTCTCCACCGCGCGGGGCAAGTGGTTATTATAAGTTTCATCGGCTTCGTTTGATGTTCCAGTTGCCAGACAGATCCACAAACTGCCTTGGCCTCAACTTTCGCCGCTCCCCATTACTAGAGGAGTCGTTATTACTGTTATTGTTTTTGTGGTTGTTGTTGTTGTTTTCTTGTTGTATCAATAGTTTTCCATTGTCGTTCTTTTGTTGTTGCATCAAGGTGATCATTTGCTTATGAAGATTACTATAGTTGTCCGTCACCTGATGCAACATCTTCTTTAGGGCTTGATTCTCACTGCTTATTCTCTCTAGATCAGCTTTCACCACTTCTAGCTGCTTGAATATATATCAAAATTAAAGCATCAATTCAATCATCATCAAACTTGTTATATGGAGCCACATTTTCTCCTTAAATGTTTAAATCATCTACATGTAGGATAAGCCACATTAAATTTTTAGTTATCCAATTCAGAGATTACTAATAAAATTAATAAAATTACACCTGAAATCAGTGTATTAAATAAAGTAAGATAAATATAAAGCATATGCATTGAGATTTTCAAATTAAGGAATTGAAAAGGTTTAATAAGTGTACTACAAGTATCATGATATAATATCATGATACAAGTACAATATAGTAGTATCATGATTACTTAAGTTTAAAAATTCAATATAAGTTACTATGATTAAGTTATTACTATAGCAGCCACTAGTCATGGACCCGGTTCGGGCCGCCCGGCCCGGGACCGGCCCGGCACGCTACTGTGCGGGCCCGGAACCGGCCCGGTTCTCGGGTCCGGGTCGGGCCTAGGCCCGGTGAGGGCGGGCGGGTCCGGGCTCGGGTCTTGTATTTGGCGAACCGGCCGGGTCGGGCCCGGGTCCGGGCAGAATTGATTTTTTTTTTTTTTTCATTTTTTGGGGTTACCCGGGTTGGGCTTGATGGTTAGGAGGGGTGGGGGGGGGGGTGGGGGGGGGGTTAGGATAGCAAAAAAAAAATGACCAAACTGGAGGCCCGGCCCGGCCCGGACCCGGACCGGACCCGGTGGCTACCCAGGCCGGTCCCGGGCCTTCCTTCCCAAAAAAAAGCCCGGCCGGGCCCGGCCCGGAACCGTAACCAGCCCGGCCCGCGTCCATGACTAGTAGCCACTAGTCACATTTTTCTAGACAATCTTTAGTTTTAGTCATAAATATGTAGTTATTTCATTAATTTTTAGTAAATCAAATTCAAAAGCATACAGGTTAGTATTTCTTAATCCGATACCGATGGGTTTCTTTAAAAAAACACCAATACAGATGGGTTAAGAAAAAATAAAAAATAAATATGCTATTTAAACCATTTTGGTTAAATGAGAATGAGTATTTTTGGAATAAAATTCATTCCCACCAAGGAATACAAGATAACCTAAGAGGTGAGTGAGTTTCAGATGAAGGGGCATATCATTACTTTCTTCTCTTTAAGGGAATGTACGTAACAACCCCCAATATCAAACCCGCGAACCAAACACAGATCTTTCACATTCCAGGCATGAGATTCCGGCCTGGATAGGTGATTATCTCGAACCGACCATGGCACCATGCCCTAAGTCTCTAGCAACCAAAAACAAAAGAAAAAAGCTAATACTACGTACTACTATAAGTGAAGTGAATTACCTCGCTCATGTTATTTTCCTCGCAATCGGCAGGTCGCAACCTGTCTTCCACCATTGAGTGATCGTTAGCAGTATTTGCAGTAAGAAGGCCCAAGCGAGTCTACAAATGTATAGCAACTCATGTTAAATTTATGTAAAATTTAATTTAATCATTATCTCAAAATGCAGCTTTAGTTTAATTAATTTGGAATCAAAATTAATTTACTTTGATTCTTTATCTAGTAAAAATTACTTTTAGTAACAACATACAAATATCTCTTAACCATTCGTTTTTTGGGCAAATTATACCGTGGGATCGGAAACATGTGCAGTGGCGGAACCAGAGAATAATTTGAGCAGGTGCTCTTATAGTTTTTTTACAATTTTTTTATTAAGATTAAAGTAAAACGAGTTAAAAAAATTATCATTAGATACATATAGTGTGTGGTACCAATAAAAAGAGTTGCAAAGTATTTGAAAAATGCGAATATGTGCACTTTTTACTCGTTTTGATGCACTAGTAGATATTTGTTTTACACTTTTTCACAACAAGAGAAAATTTTTATTTATGTACCAAATTTTCAACGTGTTTTTCATAAAATGTAGTGCATTGTTTCCTAATTCTGAGTCATTAGATATCCAGTTCAATGCACAAGATTTATTCCCAATTTTCATGAGAATAACTCTTTTTTATCCAAAACTTATATATATGTATATACATTGGGTTTCAAATAAAAAGAGAAAAGAGTCAAATAAGGCCTTCTACTATTATGAAATAGTCACATAAGGCCACGTACTCAATAAAGTGTCATATAAGTACATCTACTTGTAAAAAGCAATCAAATAGGTCCTCATGACCTATTTAACACCTCTTAATCCCAGTTTTAGCATACTTGTGACCATCTTTTTAGAATAGATTATACAACATACGTTGAATATTTAAATAAGATTGGTTGAAATACAAGTCAAAAAAATTGACATGTAAGCTAAAACCGGGATTAGGAGGTTGTAAATAGACCGTTATGACTCATTTGATTGTTTTTTACAAGTAGAAGTATATGACACTTTATTTAGTACATGCCCTTATGTGACTATTTCATAATAGTAAAAGGCCTTATTTGACCCTTTTCTCAAATAAAAATGCTATCATACTAAAGAAAAAGTAAACAGTTATGTTAAGTTAAAGTATGTTGAAAATTATTCTGACATTATAGTGTATATATGTATATGTCATTATTAAAACAAGGAAGAAATATTAAAAACTCGTTTTTTGTTTGTGTTTCGAAATAATTAAAAGTTATGTAGTATGTTATAAATGTAATTTTGAGGCTATTGATCTAAAAAAGAAAAAAGAAAACCACATATTAATAGTTGAAGAAAGAAAAAGTGGAAAATAATGTGCATACAAAATAAGAACGAAATAAAAGATATGAAAATTTAAAGAGTAATTTTAACAACATTATATCATTCAATTGAATGAAACTAATTATCATGTCTAAAGTTTAAACAAGCAATATGAGTCAGAACTAAAAGACAAATGGGAGAGGAAACAAATGGGAAGTGGAGTAAGGAAGCAAAAACAAAAATGGATTCAGGAATCGAACCCGCAAATTCAAGAAGGGGAGTTACTTGTGTCCAGCACAATTCCATGTGAGCAGGCCCGTGCCTTATGTTAGGCTGGAGAGGCCCAAGCCTCAGGGCCCCAAAAATGAAAAAATTAGGGGCCCATAATTTTTTAAACATTACTATTATTATACCTATGTATTTTCCAAGGGCGTCGCCATTTGGGGCGGTTCCCGGTGTAATTTTTTGATGATTTTTTTTTAGAATATTCTTCATTAAGTCTAATTTACCTATATCAAATTTCAGTAAAAAATTTAACCAGGAAGGCAGTCAAATGAATTTTTGAAGATAACTGTGCAGTTAAACAGCACAGTATATTTCAGAAAATCATTTGACTGCCTTATTGGTTGAATTTTTAGATGCAATTTAGTATGAATAAACTAGACTTAATGAAGAAGATGATCAAAAACTTTCATCATAAAATTACACTGGAAACCACCCCAAATGGCGACGGTCAGACATAACCTCTTATATAAGGGGACCGGTGATTTGCACTTTTTAAGTTAGTTCAAGGTCTGATTTGTAGAGAAAATTAATAGTATATATATTATTGAGGATTCCACTAAATTATGTATCTAAAACTGTTCGACAGGTTTTACTTAAGTATTTTTTTAATACATTATTTTTCGTGTGATAATGGAAGACTTTTAATGAAAGATTGCGTTTTTATGGTATTTAACCATTCAATTTTAGTGAATTTATTTGATAAACAAACATTATGTATGAGGCCCATTTTATGAAGCTCCACTCAGGCCTGAGTTTAGGTAGGACCGGCACTGCATGTGAGCCAATAGAACCATTAGCTAGAATCAGCCGCGGAGTAAATACTCCCTCCGTCCCAATTTGTAAGATACATTTCGGTTTACGATGTTTGACTGACGATAAAGCAAATTGATCCCTGTCAACACCCAAATTAGTTCTAGAAAATAAAATTTACATATTCAAAAACTACATTAAATCCGCTACAAAACCTCCAAAAAATAATTCAAACTTCATAAACTTTTGATATATAAAATAAAAGTTTAGAAGTGATTTATGTTGACCAAGTGAATAGTAAATGTATCTTACAATTTGGGACTGAGGGAGTATATACTATCTCCTAGCCGGGGCTGAGACATATACATACATATATATACACTACCGCCGCCGGCGAACGGGCGGCGGCGGCACCGGCTCGCCCCCCTCTAGTTCTGCCACTGACCATGTGCATGGTACACCGATCTCGTTTTGAAGAAGAAAAAAGTTGGTCACAAGCTCTCTCTTTAATCGCAGCTCCACTAACCAGGTCACTGGCCTCTCCCCACACCCTCGTTACTTTTTATTCTTTTTCCTTTTTTGCTTTGCTCTCTCAATTCTATTTCTCTAGTGCACTCCCCACCCTCTTTCTTTTTTACTTTTTCTTTTTTTTACTTTTATTTTTTCATTATCAAAACCAATTTCCAAATGATTTTTTTTAATTAAGGAACACTGGCCAGATGTATGTACTTTATTTCAATTTTGTGATTAAATTTTTATCCTTTCAAAACACATTAATTACTTTTCTTTCTGTCTTAATCCTTATTCCTGCACTTTTTTCTTTTTTTCTTCAACTAAAATCACAACCAAAAATTTATTATGTTTTGTAATATCTTTCTATATTCATTTTTTTTGTAATAAACTTTTATATGGATACACTTTTTATCGCTTTTATATGTCTTTAGAGGCTTTTAAGACATTGAACGTGTTTATTTTGATTTATTGAGTTACATTTGATAATATACGAAGTTAAATTTTTTTTTTATGAAGTTAAATCTTCTTATGCCCAAGTTACATGTTATAATGCGCGAGTTACATCTTGTTATGCGTCGGTTACATCTTTTTATGCGCGAGTTACATCAAATTATGTATGAGTTACATCTAATTATTTGTGATTTCTACTTATCTTTATCTTTAACTAATTACATCTAATTAAATTACATTTTTCATAACACTAGTTACATACAAGAATAAACTCCAACTATTGAAACAAAAATTTCATCTTTTTTGCAAAGAAAATGTATTTTTGGCAAAAAAATAATATTAAAAAAAATATTTTTATGGCCTTAATATTAAAAAAAAATGTCTGCTATTTACGTAAAGTAATTCAGCAATTAGACTCCATGTTTTCATTGTTTACATTGAAATCAATGTTTTATTTCTTATACTCCGCATTACATAAGTTACATTTTAACTTGTCTTCAGTTACATTTGTTGGCAACGTGAATTACATTTCTTTATACGCGAGTTACATCAACCAATAATTGCTAGGACAAGGAAAAAAATTAAAAAAAGTTACTGTTCACGCGCGTGAACAGTAACACGCGAATTTGCCTCTGGGAGCACCATGCTCACGGTGGGTTGCTCCCACGGTATAACAACTCGTTTTTTGATGCATGGGGCAAAACCTAAATTAATCTACTTTGATATTTTTATAGAAATACGGAGTATGTAAATTATAAATATTGCTCCTCTCAGTGGGGACCTAGAGATTTATTATGGGGAAAAACTTATTATACGGAGTAGTTTATTTTCAAAATAATCAAAAAAATCTATCGCCACTAATTATAGCTTATTATATAACGAAGTATAAAATAGTGGAATTTTTCAATTTTATAAGTTCCCATATCATGATATTTTTTATGATTATTTTAAAAAACAATAATAAAAATCAACCCTATGAGTTCCCATATTATGATATTCTTTCACAATAGCTTCATAATGTACCAAGTCATTTTTTTGGAATCTAACTTCAACCATCTTCATAGAAACATCACCAATATTTTACAATATGTAGTGCATAGGATACCGTCCTTGTGACACCGCTCCCGAACGTCCTTGAAAATTCGATTTAAAATTCAAAGTTTATGTATTGGATTTCTGATTCCCAAACAATTGTAAAACGATTGATGTTTTACGTAATTTATGATCGATTATCTTACCGCTCAAACTCGTACGTTAGTGTTGGGCTTGCGAATACTCGTTGGGGCCTTATTAATAAATAAAAGATCCTAACATTATCTAAATAGTTATACATAACGTTTCAAGACAAGTTGAGGAAGGGCGGGCAGCCCATATATTATTTGGGCCCAACCTGCTAAAATAGCAAATATTTGAGGACGGCGTCGTAGGCCCACTCGGGGGCGACCCACACGGCTTGTAGCCCAATAATATGAATGACAAATGTCAAAATAAGTGATAGGATGATTAAAGAAGAGTACAAATGCCTATAACCCCATCTTTGGCATTATTGAGCCAAATAATGGGAGTAGGATTTTCCTTCTATATTATCCATCAAGTAAATTATTGAGATGAGCCTACACATATTGGAGATCAATAATGTTATGTAGGAAGTTGACTTGTTCTAAATAAATTAGGATGAGTACAAAAAGACATCTTTGACAAAAGATAAAACAATAGGACCCATTCTTCCATTTTTGGGTGTATTGATAGATATTTTGGATCCCAAAATAATTGGGATCAATGGGGAACCACTCCACATGATATTAGTACCTGCAAGACAAGGAAAATATGTGAGAAGACTCACCTTGGCCGCACCACATGGAGAAGCACTGCCCATGACACAATTGGAATCAAATTTTGGGGCCACCACCACTGTTTTCGCACAAACAGGTGTGCTGTTTTGTCTCCCTTCATTTTGAGAGTTGTACTCGTCCAAATGAGGTGTATAAGGTGTCCTTGGATATCCTTTGAAGTCTATTTTCATAATTGAGTGGTCTCTGTTCTAGAGGAGAGAGTAGTCATCCAAAAATCGATCTGAAGCGAGCAGTGGTCTGTGAACTCGAGCTGTGAGAGTGCTGAGACTGTTTGGTTGATATCTCGAGTTTTACCAATCCAATTAAGGCGTGTGAGATACCAAAAGAAAGCTCTCAAGACGAGGAATCCGTGAAGGTCTGGTTTGCATCAATCGGAGTAGAGGAAGGCTTCCAAATCGTCCGAGAAAAACACAACCTCGCAGAAACGGATTTACTCTTCTAAAGTGAGTTGTTAACCCCAAATCCTTTCCATTCATTTTCCAAATGATATGAACGATTGGTGGGACTATTGTACACTAATACAAGTGTATAATATGTCCTTGAAAAGTTATTTTATTGATGTAAAGGTTAGATACTAACCTAGAGCAAATATTGGAAAACTAGGAATCGAGTTAGCCGGAAAACACCCGTTCTAGGGGCTGTTTTCGTATCAACGGTTAGGGGTTGAAATAGCAACTTGAGGAAGCTGCTTAACACCCATTTTCAAGCAAGGAATCAGTTCTCAAGCTTCCTTGGCCGAGGCTTTAGTCATTGGATCGAGAAGGAAAGTTTTAAAGCTCATTTGAGGTGAGGATCGACATCTAGTTGCTTACAACTTGTAGGTTAAGCATGAGATTACCTAAATGCCTAAATAATGTTTTCCATGGATTATGATGATAAATTCTTGATGGAATATTGATCTATTTTCCAAACAATGAAATGGGAAATGATTTGGTAAAGTATTGATGAAAATGGAGTTAAATGAACTATTGTGTGAAATAGACATTTTACTCATGTGTGAATTGTGTAGATACATAAATGATAATTTATGTATTACATCGAATGATTAAGTTGCTGCTACATATCTCTAAATATGTAGGGTTTTACAAATGGAATATATGATGGATAAGAATAATCTTAATAGTATTGAAATACTAGTTAATGATTGTTGTAATTGTTGAAGAATTGAATCTAAGGATTTGATTGTAATTGATGAACTTGATTGTGATGCAAGTGACTAAATTGATGTAATGTGATGCTAAGACCATGGTTGGGCAGTCCGTAAGGATGTCCCAAAATAGATTATTGATATTACAATTCTAGGCATAGCGAATGCTTAGGAATTGGGGTCTATGCCAATGTAAGGAGATGTACTTGAGCCGCGCTCATAGAATTGCATTGGGTAGACATGATGGGGTGATTATTGTGCATGGTGATGTAGTTGAGTTGGACTCAAGAAATGCACGGTGGAGTAGTTAACTCGGGTTAAATAAGGTGCATGGTGATGTAGTCGAGTTGGACTCGAGAATGCAAATATATGTGTTAGGGTTGAACCCTATGTATTGTTGTGACTAGGGGTCACGGGATTTTGGGGTATGTTTGATAAACAAACCTTGGGCCTACGGGCCGACTACTTGACTTTATATATAAAGTAAGTATATTTTTAAAAAGGGGTAACTTGGGGTTACGGCCTAGATTATACTATCACCCTATTTGAGGGTCTTGTGTTTGAAATACTTGTTGTATATCTATTAGATGCCATCCACACCAGCACTTTATAGCCCTATAGAGTGCTGACCCCTTCGGGGGCGTCCCACCACCATTTTTCAGGTTGAGGCTAGAGCTTGCTTCCTGTGCTCGTTGCTCGAGAGATCATCTAGGAGCGAAGACTTGGTTCGTGCTTCCTCCATTCGGATTTTAAACATTAATAAACATGCTCATGGATATTTTACTATGGAGCCTGCGTGCTCATGAATAGCCCGGTGTGGCCTTTTTGTTTTAAAAAATGTTTTCCGCTGCATTATGAATTACTTATTATGTTTGTTTATGGATGGCTTACGTGTGAATGATATTCGAGACGCCTTGTATAATATGAATGTGTTGGACTGCGGTTGACTATTCGTATTGTACGGCGGGTTGTTGACGTGTCCGGGGAGGTCCGGGGCGTGACAATTAAGTTGGTATCAGAGCCTTAGTCCATAAACTTCATAATGAAGTCTCAAAATTCTCTTTTTGAAAAGATTTTGAAAACCATGAGCATAGAAGTTTTGTACTTGGAGAGCTTTTGGTACTTGAGTTGCAAGGTCTCTTATTGTTAAGATGGTACCCTTAGCAATTGGTATGGCGGTGACTCGAGCCAGAATGTGTCTTAAGTACCTATCCGTCAATTGACATTTGATACGAGTCTAACGACTCTTTCCAAATTTCTTTCAGAAATGGACCGTGGTGGCAGGATTACTAGGAGAAACCCGACCGGCCGTGTACCAGTGGAGACTGGACAGGGCAGTCGAAGGACCTCTAGGGCATCTAGAGGAGCTGGCCGTGGAGGCCGGTCACAGACCGTGAGTGACGGTCATATTGACACAGAAAGTGAAACCTACTGGTCCTATGAGGACTCGACTTACCAACCGGAAACCGAGCCGGTTGAGACCCCTTACGAAGGGGATGACGATGATGTAAGTGATGAGGAGGGGGAGAATGACTCCCTAGCAAGAATTGAGGCGCTGCTCCAACAATATCAGCGGGAGCGCGAGGAAAGGAGGGAACGCCGAAGGCGCCGGGGAGGGCGAACTTCGGGTGGGGCTTTAAGAGAAAGGAGCCATGGCGATTCTCGGGCCCACATTGAACCACATGGGGGCCGGGGTGATGGGGGTCCAATCATAAGGATCTCAAAATTTCTTAAAGAGGCTAGAGACTTGGGGTGCAAACCCTTCAACGGAGCAGGTGACATCTCGGTCGCCGCGGAATGGATCAAGAGATTGAACGAAGCAGCCCTTGATATGCAACTCACCCCCGAATTTAAACTAAGGGTGGCGGTGAGATTGCTTGAAGGGATGGCATCCACATGGTGGGATGGAGCCAAGGGAAAGTATGGCAATACCGTGACTTGGGAGAATTTCCGACAGGAGTTCTTTGCCCAATATTATTCTGATTTTGAGGTGAACGCTAAAAGGAGAGAGTATACCCTCCTGACCCAAGGTGGCAAGATGACGGTGAGGCAACTTGAACATAAATTCAGGGAACTCGCGGAGTTCATACCGGAGTATGTCTGTGACGAGAACCGGATGGTAAATCACTTCTGGGATGCCTTAGACTTGGAGGTGCGTGAGAGGGCAACACAGTTGCCTAACATGACCTTTAGCCAAGTGGTTGAGCAGGGATTGAAAGGGGAGAAGGAATGGGAAGAAAGAAAGTTGAAGAACGCCGAAGAGGCGAAGAAGAGGAAGTGGGAGAACCATGGACATCAGGGTCCTAATAAAAAGGGGAACCATGGGGGGGGGATCCTTTCGGACACCCCCACTGCCATCTAGGGGAAGTCAAGGCCCGGGCGGGCAATCACAAGCCTCGGGGGTGACTCGTTGCAAGAATTGCAAGAGGAACCACCTGGGGAAATGTCGTGACCCTCCTAGATGCTATCAATGCGGAAACACCGGGCACTTGAAGATGAATTGCCCACAATTGGGTGGGGCAAGGTCATCGGGACCAAGTAGTGGTAATACTGGGACACGGAATCAAGCCGGGACTTCACAAGCGTCTAGGGGGCAAGGGGGAGCAAGCGCAAGCAATGCCCCATCCGTGAATCAAGGAAGGACTCAAGCTAGGGTCTACGCGATGACGGAGGCGGATGCTCAAGCTAACCCGGATTCCGTTGCAGGTATTGCCTCTCGTATACTAGTGTTTTATCCTTAATTAGTCCATAAATTGAGGTTACTAATTGTTAGGATCAATGCACGAAGCTTTAGGGTCGAACCGGGAAGATTTCGGACCATTTCGGGCTGTTTTCGCCCAGGCACGGTCGTGCCTAGGGTAGGCACGATCGTGCCTACAAGGCAGTAGGTACCTGAGCATTTCCCCGACCCAGGCACGGTCGTGCCTAAGGCACGCACGATCGTGCCTGCAAGGCAGTGTCTGCCAGTGAAGTTTCCCGACCCAGGCACGATCGAGCCTAAGGCAGGCACGATCGTGTCTCCAAGGCAGTGGCGTCCTGGGCTTTTTCCCAAGCCAGGCACGATCGTGCCTACCCCAGGCACGCCGTGCCTGGCACCCAGTTTGCCGAAGTGCGATTTTTCGCACCGTTTTGCGACGTTAAGACCTTTTCTTGATCCCTAACGTGCGTGTGAACATTGTAACCTTCTATAAATGAGTAGGGAGGGTAGGAAAGATGTCTTACATGGTTCATGAATGTAGGGACACTAAAGATTAATGGGAAGGATGCGCGAATCCTTATTGATACCGGGGCGCAACGTTCATTTGTGAATGAAGCGTTCGCCAAGAGGTTGGGAGTGCAATCCGCACCATTGATGCAAACCTTAGTGGTATCAACACCACTAGGGGATGACGTGGAAAGAACTTGTTACTATCCATCTTGTGGGGTGGAGGTTAATGGTCAAACCTTGACGTGTGACTTCGTACCGCTGAGCATGATTGAATTCGATGCAATCCTAGGGATGGATTGGCTAGAAAGGAACCATGCTAGGGTAGATTGCCACACGAAGGTTCTTGAACTCAAAGGCAATGATGGGGAGACCCTACGCTTCGAGGGCGATCGAGGGGGATCAAATAGCTGTATCATATCCGCCGTGAGAGCGAGAAGTATGATGAGAAAGGGATGCCACGCATATCTAGCATACGTGGTTGACCAAACCAAAGAGGAAACGAACATCGATGATGTGAGGGTGGTTTGTAAGTATCCGGATGTCTTCCCTAAAGACCTACCGGGGCTTCCACCTGATAGAGAGATTGAATTTGTGATCGAGGTCGAGCCTGGTACCAAACCAATCTCCATACCGCCATACCGTATGGCGCCCGCCGAACTTAACGAGTTGAAAACCCAATTGCAAGAGCTTTTGGATAACGGTTTCATTAGACCAAGCCACTCCCCGTGGGGAGCGCCAGTTCTTTTTGTGAAAAAGAAAGATGGGACACTTCGAATGTGTATTGACTATCGTCAACTGAACAAGGTCACAATCAAGAATAGGTATCCTTTGCCTAGAATTGATGACTTGTTTGACCAACTACGTGGGGCAACCGTGTTTTCAAAGATTGATTTGAGGTCGGGTTACCATCAATTGAAGATTAAGGAAGATGACATACCAAAGAGTGCTTTCCGCACAAGGTATGGGCATTTTGAATTCCTTGTTATGTCGTTTGGGTTAACAAATGCCCCGGCGGCATTCATGGACTTGATGAACCGGGTATTTCATAAATACTTGGACCGATTCGTGATTGTGTTCATAGATGACATCTGGATTTACTCAAAGAGTGAAGAAGAGCATGAAGAACACTTGATACTTGTTCTTGAGACACTACGGGAGAAGCAACTCTACGCCAAATTTTCTAAATGTGAATTTTGGCTAAAAGAGATTGGCTTCCTCGGGCACGTGGTTTCAGGATCGGGAATTGCTGTTGATAACAAGAAGATAGAAGCCATTACCGAATGGGAGAGACCAAAGAACGTCAAGGAAATTCGTAGTTTCCTTGGACTGGCAGGCTACTACAGAAAGTTCGTGGAGAAGTTCTCTGTTTTGGCATCACCATTGACGAAGCTCACTCGTAAAGGAGCTATGTTTGTATGGGATGACAAATGTGAGGAGGGGTTCATGGAACTAAGGAAGCGATTGACCGAGGCACCGGTACTTGCATTACCCAAACAGGGTGTGGGGTACGATGTCTATAGCGATGCGAGCATCCAAGGGCTTGGATGCGTACTGATGCAGAATGGGAGGGTAATCGCCTATGCTTCACGACAGTTGAAGAAGCATGAGGTGAATTATCCTACTCATGACTTGGAGCTGGGGGCTGTGGTGTTTGCACTGAAGATATGGAGACATTATCTCTACGGGGAGACATGTCACATATACACTGATCACAAGAGCTTGAAATACGTGTTTACTCAGAAAGAGCTAAACATGAGACAGAGACGGTGGATGGAGTTGATAAAGGACTACCATCTAGTGATAGAGTATCACCCAGGCAAGGCAAACGTGGTGGCAGATGCTTTGAGCCGGAAGAGCTCGTCTGGGGCATTGCTAGCTAATTTGAGGGCATTAAGAGCCCAACTGGAGGTATCCAGCGACGGTGCCTTATTGGCACGATTTGAGGTGAGACCTACTTTACTTGATGAGATCAAGAAGGGTCAAGAGACTGACGTAGAACTTATGAAGGTCCGGGAACGCATGCAAGCGGGACCGGTGGAGGATTTCAGGGAAAGAGATGATGGTCTCTTGTTATTTCGTGACCGAGTGTGTGTGCCGTCAGATGATGAGCTCCGAAAGTCCATCTTAGAGGAGGCTCATTCATCGGCTTATGCCATGCACCCGGGGGGCACGAAAATGTACCGTGATTTGAAAGAAAGTTACTGGTGGTCTGGAATGAAGAGGGAAATAGCCGAGTACATCAGCCGATGCCTTACTTGTCAACAAGTTAAGGCAGAACATCAGCATCCAGCAGGCTTGTTACAACCACTTTCCATTCCTGAGTGGAAGTGGGAACATGTGACTATGGATTTCGTGGTAGGTTTACCACGGACAATTCGGAACTACGATGCGGTTTGGGTTGTTGTGGATAGGCTCACAAAGAGTGCACACTTCTTGCCTATCAACACTACCTACCCACTTGAGAGGTTAGCCAAATTGTATACGGATGAGATCGTGAGGCTGCATGGGGTCCCAGTGACCATTGTATCCGATAGAGACCCACGATTCACATCACGTTTTTGGCCGAAATTTCAAGAGTCTATGGGAACGAGGTTGAAGTTCAGTACTGCATTCCATCCACAGACGGATGGGCAGTCTGAGAGGGTTATACAGATCTTAGAGGATATGCTGAGGGCTTGTGCGTTAGAGTTCCAAGGAAGTTGGGACAACCACTTGGCACTCGTGGAGTTTGCCTATAACAACAGTTATCAGGCAAGTATCGGCATGCCTCCATATGAAGCATTGTATGGGAGGAGGTGTCGTACACCGTTATGCTGGGACTAGGTTGGCATGGCCAAACTCGAGGGTACTGAGTTGGTTGAAATCACCAAGTCAAAGGTGAAGCTGATTCGAGAGAGACTCAAAGCGGCTCAGGATAGGCAAAAGAGTTATGCAGATAAGCGTCGAAGAACCTTAGAGTTTAAGGTTGATGACGAGGTATTCCTGAAAGTTTCTCCTTGGAAAGGAATCATTCGATTCCAAACCCGAGGAAAGCTTAACCCACGATATATAGGCCCATTCAGAATTATAGAGAGGGTTGGGGCCGTAGCATATCGTCTACAGTTGACTCCTGAGTTGGAGAAGATTCACAATGTATTTCACGTGTCCATGCTTAAGAAGTATGTGCATGATCCTTCTCATGTGTTGGAGAAGCCGCCCGTGGAGGTACGTGAAGATTTGAACTATGCCGTGCAACCGGTAAGAGTTATTGACAGAAAAGTGAAGAAACTGAGGAGTAAAGAAGTTCCAATGGTTAAAGTCCTTTGGAAGAGTGACCGGGTCGAAGAAGAGACTTGGGAAACAGAAGCTTGATGAGGAAGCAGTATGCATTCCTATTCGAGTAGAGCTGTGAATTTCGGGGACGAAATTCCTGTTAAGGGGGGGTGAACTTGTGACACCGCTCCCGAACGTCCTTGAAAATTCGATTTAAAATTCAAAGTTTATGTATTGGATTTCTGATTCCCAAACAATTGTAAAACGATTGATGTTTTACGTAATTTATGATCGATTATCTTACCGCTCAAACTCGTACGTTAGTGTTGGGCTTGCGAATACTCGTTGGGGCCTTATTAATAAATAAAAGATCCTAACATTATCTAAATAGTTATACATAACGTTTCAAGACAAGTTGAGGAAGGGCGGGCAGCCCATATATTATTTGGGCCCAACCTGCTAAAATAGCAAATATTTGAGGACGGCGTCGTAGGCCCACTCGGGGGCGACCCACACGGCTTGTAGCCCAATAATATGAATGACAAATGTCAAAATAAGTGATAGGATGATTAAAGAAGAGTACAAATGCCTATAACCCCATCTTTGGCATTATTGAGCCAAATAATGGGAGTAGGATTTTCCTTCTATATTATCCATCAAGTAAATTATTGAGATGAGCCTACACATATTGGAGATCAATAATGTTATGTAGGAAGTTGACTTGTTCTAAATAAATTAGGATGAGTACAAAAAGACATCTTTGACAAAAGATAAAACAATAGGACCCATTCTTCCATTTTTGGGTGTATTGATAGATATTTTGGATCCCAAAATAATTGGGATCAATGGGGAACCACTCCACATGATATTAGTACCTGCAAGACAAGGAAAATATGTGAGAAGACTCACCTTGGCCGCACCACATGGAGAAGCACTGCCCATGACACAATTGGAATCAAATTTTGGGGCCACCACCACTGTTTTCGCACAAACAGGTGTGCTGTTTTGTCTCCCTTCATTTTGAGAGTTGTACTCGTCCAAATGAGGTGTATAAGGTGTCCTTGGATATCCTTTGAAGTCTATTTTCATAATTGAGTGGTCTCTGTTCTAGAGGAGAGAGTAGTCATCCAAAAATCGATCTGAAGCGAGCAGTGGTCTGTGAACTCGAGCTGTGAGAGTGCTGAGACTGTTTGGTTGATATCTCGAGTTTTACCAATCCAATTAAGGCGTGTGAGATACCAAAAGAAAGCTCTCAAGACGAGGAATCCGTGAAGGTCTGGTTTGCATCAATCGGAGTAGAGGAAGGCTTCCAAATCGTCCGAGAAAAACACAACCTCGCAGAAACGGATTTACTCTTCTAAAGTGAGTTGTTAACCCCAAATCCTTTCCATTCATTTTCCAAATGATATGAACGATTGGTGGGACTATTGTACACTAATCCAAGTGTATAATATGTCCTTGAAAAGTTATTTTATTGATGTAAAGGTTAGATACTAACCTAGAGCAAATATTGGAAAACTAGGAATCGAGTTAGCCGGAAAACACCCGTTCTAGGGGCTGTTTTCGTATCAACGGTTAGGGGTTGAAATAGCAACTTGAGGAAGCTGCTTAACACCCATTTTCAAGCAAGGAATCAGTTCTCAAGCTTCCTTGGCCGAGGCTTTAGTCATTGGATCGAGAAGGAAAGTTTTAAAGCTCATTTGAGGTGAGGATCGACATCTAGTTGCTTACAACTTGTAGGTTAAGCATGAGATTACCTAAATGCCTAAATAATGTTTTCCATGGATTATGATGATAAATTCTTGATGGAATATTGATCTATTTTCCAAAGAATGAAATGGGAAATGATTTGGTAAAGTATTGATGAAAATGGAGTTAAATGAACTATTGTGTGAAATAGACATTTTACTCATGTGTGAATTGTGTAGATACATAAATGATTATTTATGTATTACATCGAATGATTAAGTTGCTGCTACATATCTCTAAATATGTAGGGTTTTACAAATGGAATATATGATGGATAAGAATAATCTTAATAGTATTGAAATACTAGTTAATGATTGTTGTAATTGTTGAAGAATTGAATCTAAGGATTTGATTGTAATTGATGAACTTGATTGTGATGCAAGTGACTAAATTGATGTAATGTGATGCTAAGACCATGGTTGGGCAGTCCGTAAGGATGTCCCAAAATAGATTATTGATATTACAATTCTAGGCATAGCGAATGCTTAGGAATTGGGGTCTATGCCAATGTAAGGAGATGTACTTGAGCCGCGCTCATAGAATTGCATTGGGTAGACATGATGGGGTGATTATTGTGCATGGTGATGTAGTTGAGTTGGACTCAAGAAATGCACGGTGGAGTAGTTAACTCGGGTTAAATAAGGTGCATGGTGATGTAGTCGAGTTGGACTCGAGAATGCAAATATATGTGTTAGGGTTGAACCCTATGTATTGTTGTGACTAGGGGTCACGGGATTTTGGGGTATGTTTGATAAACAAACCTTGGGCCTACGGGCCGACTACTTGACTTTATATATAAAGTAAGTATATTTTTAAAAAGGGGTAACTTGGGGTTACGGCCTAGATTATACTATCACCCTATTTGAGGGTCTTGTGTTTGAAATACTTGTTGTATATCTATTAGATGCCATCCACACCAGCACTTTATAGCCCTATAGAGTGCTGACCCCTTCGGGGGCGTCCCACCACCATTTTTCAGGTTGAGGCTAGAGCTTGCTTCCTGTGCTCGTTGCTCGAGAGATCATCTAGGAGCGAAGACTTGGTTCGTGCTTCCTCCATTCGGATTTTAAACATTAATAAACATGCTCATGGATATTTTACTATGGAGCCTGCGTGCTCATGAATAGCCCGGTGTGGCCTTTTTGTTTTAAAAAATGTTTTCCGCTGCATTATGAATTACTTATTATGTTTGTTTATGGATGGCTTACGTGTGAATGATATTCGAGACGCCTTGTATAATATGAATGTGTTGGACTGCGGTTGACTATTCGTATTGTACGGCGGGTTGTTGACGTGTCCGGGGAGGTCCGGGGCGTGACAGTCCTCCTTTTTTTAATCGCAACATGTTGAATTTAACAATATTCACATGTTCTTCTTTGACTACATTTTACAATATATTTTATGATTGTTTTTTTAAATATTGTTCAATTCATCTCATTACAAATTTTCAAAATCTGATTATTTTTAATTTGTTTTACTAATAGAGAATACGATATATTTATAGTCAAAGATGTGCGTTGACAAATGTGAAATGTTGACCGTTGCAATTAAAAAACGGAGGAAGTAGTTATGAATATCAGATTTTTCATTTAATATATTTAGATTTGGAGTTGCTATGTATTTCAAAATGTATCTTTAACGCTTGGAACTAAGCTCACAACATCGAGATACTCCCAGTGGCGGATTTAAGTTTCAAACTTTGGGTGTTCATTTTTTGGTATAAATAAAATTTGAAAGAACAATAAATAATTAAATAAAATTTACACATGAATACTAATATGTTTTTCAATATTTTAGGTGTTCAATTGAACACTCTTGAAGTATAGTGGCTCCGCCACTGGATACTCCTATCTTATTTTTGATGTAAAAGGTGTGACAAAATATTCACCAACCGCGATATTTTCTTCATTACGTCAGGAGTATTAATAAACTGACACCTCTCTATACCTTTTCGGAAAATAGTCAAATAGGTCCTCGAACTTTCATAAAAAGGTCAATTAAGTCCTTCTATAGGAGGTTCTGTCCGGCCGTCGCGATTTGGGGCAGTTCCCGGTGGAATTTTTTGATGAAATTTTTTGAGCATCTTATTCACCAAGTCTGGTTTACTCATACCAAATTTCAGCTAAAAATTCAATCGGGAAGACATTCAAATTAATTCTTGAAGATAACTACATATTTTTGCGTTCTCGAATTAATTTGAATGCGCTCCTGATTGAATTTTTAGCTTAAATTTGGTATGAGTAAACTAGACTTGATGAAGAAGATGCTCAAAAAATTTCATCAAAAAATTCCACCGGGAACCGCCCCAAATCGCGACGACCGGACAGAGTCTCCTATAGAAGGACTTCATTGATTTTTTTATGAAAGTTCGAGGACCTATTTGACAGTTTTCCTTATATATTGTCAAGTACTTGGATGGTCGGAGACAAGCTATATACACAAAAAGCAAATGGCGGGTGTAAAAGGCCATTTACCCAATGTGTACTTCCGGCCCAAGTTCTCTAAATTACTAGATTCAATCCCCTACTACACCCATTGAAATTTCACCATTTTCTAACACATCAATCATATATTGATGTTGTATTTTCCGAAACACACATTTTCTTTTATCAGAAGAAATACTCAAAACTAATTTACTTTAATTAGTGAATATCTATCTTGATGAAGACTCAAAAATACTGGCAAATTTACTTTACTTTTTGTGCAACTGCCATGAAAACTAACTATAATTGATGGCCAGAATTAAACATGAATTTCTATCTTGCATTATGGATATACTTTCATCTAAAATAAGTCTTAATTCATGAAACTCACCATACGATTTTACACGACCCATCATATTTGTAGCCTCTTACTCGAAACATAGATAATTCATGTTTACTTGTTTTGGAATTGGTTTTATTTTAACATACATTCCCAGTGATCTTGATATATAGTACTTGTTCACACCTTATCTCTCATGCAATAGTGAATATGACACAATAACTGATCGAATTGAAAGTGAGAATTTCATCTAGAAGTGGTGGAAGTATACATATTTGTAAATGCACGGAGTACCTACATTTATGCTGAAATCCAAGTCGGGTTCCTGTCGGTGTAGACCTTCCTTGCTATCGGAGATAACGACATTATTATCCTTGTTATGGTCAGCAAAGAAGTCCATTTCATCTAAACCCTTCCGTTCTTCATCTTGGCGGCGCTCCACGGAGCTTATGAGGTGGCTCACCGGGAATTGGATAGTGGGTGGCGGAGACTTTTCGTTGACCAAAGATTCCATTGATAGTACAGAAGATGAGGAGGAGGTCGAAGACGGGAGAAGATAGCAGGAAAGGGGTGTTCTTAGAGGCGCATCTGAATGATAAGAGGAGAGTTCATCACCTCGCCTTTCGTCCATATATATAGTTATATTTAATCTATAGTAAGCACACAATAAAAAAAGGAAAGAAATCAAAGAAATTAGTGATGAGTGATGAGATTAGATGAAGAATTGAGAAGAAAGGAAAAAGGGTGGGTTTGAAGAAGAAGCTAGAAGAAAGTACGTACGTACAAAGAGATCTAAAGCAAAGGAGTAGGCAAGAAATATGGGGTCGTATGTTGAGTAAGTCTAGGAGATGAGAGAAGGGAAGACCATGCAAGTACGTACCACATGGACGAGAATATGACTCGGGCGTAGAAGGGAGTAATAATAATTCTTTGTTGAATTGTTTGTTATGTTAAGACCTTATTACCAGCTTGTATATAGGAGCTGAGGTTAATTTATGGTCAATCTTGAAAGTTTAAGCTATTAATTACTAAAAGTTGAATTTATCTATCTATGAACTAGAATGTAAGAGGAAAAGTGATGACACCAAAAAGTGTTTACAATATGTAGTACTATGTACGATAGTATATCTCAAATGCTTTTGTCATCTAGAACTATATGAAAGTGTTTAACATGCTTTTTCTCCTTAAAGGTCCCCATTCATTTAGACACATTTTGTCCTACATTCTAGTTCTAGAGATATACCAAAAAATGTCTAAATATGTTTGTTGGGGACCTTTATATAGGAACGAAGGGAGTATATGCACGGAGAAAAAGTGTTTCAATTAATAACATACATACTTCTTAAATTGAAATAACTCTTTAAGTGTTAGTCGAAGTTGTGGATTATTCCACCCTAACTCTGCACTATTATAATTCAATGCTGCTAGATACAAATAAGAACGAGTATTAGAATATCTCAAATGCTTAAGAGATAGACTAGAATAAGTAATTATTATGACAAATAGATAACATTGAGAGTTATATCTATTGTTCTAATTTTATTATATAGTAAAACAAAGTTATAAATGAGTGATATGAGTCAATCTATTATTCAGAGTTATAAATCAATTATTATCACTTAATTGTTGTAAAATACATATGAATACGACTTACAATAACAAACAGTTTGCCTACATTTCAGTAAACTAATGGTTATAATCAGTTTGTTATAACCTCCAGATTTACCCCTACACCATGGGAGGATGGAAAATGAGTTGTGGCATGTGGGTGACAAAATACTAACTCATGGTTATAAGTCCATTTTATCTACCATTAGCAGTATTCGTTAACTAATGGTTGAATGTGTATTTATGCTTTCCAGGGATAAAGAGTTATGCTCGAACTCATGTTAGGTTTGTTGCTAATGTCTTAGTAATTTGATACTCCGTAATTTAGTTGGTGCGTTTTGGATATTTCAGGATATTGTGATGTGACAATAATTAATTCGGAGTATATATGTAGTATAGATAGAGTAATCTATATACGAGAAGTTTTAGGGAGTCATACATGACTCCTCTATGGAGTCAGAAGATCTATGTGGCCACTCGCCATCACCACACATTTTTTTTAATTGGGGTATATATTGACACTAAAAGAATGTGCACTGATGATGATCTCCACAGAGACCATGTGACTCCATATAGAAGTTCGCTCTTTAGAAATTTTGACGTATATGGCTCTTTGTTGAATTGTTTGTTAAGACCTGATTACCAGCTTGTATATAGGAGCTGAGGTTAATTTATTGCCAATCTTAAAAGTTTAAGCTATTAATTACTAAAAGTTGAATTTATCTATCTAGAACTAGAATGTAAGAGAAAAAGTGACGACACCAAACAGTGTTTACCCCAATATATATATTTGCAATAAAAGAAATTTTATTAATAAAAGCCAGAAAGAGTACAAAAGAGAAAAGGATAAAAAATTAAAAATAAAAAACAACGCGAAAAGAACAAAAAATAATAATATTACTTAACTTAAAGTCCTTTATCCCTATATAACCCCAAGTGATCTCACGGTGTTTACAATATATAGTATATCTCAAATGCTTTTCTCATCTAGAACTATATGAAAGTGTTTAACATGCTTTTTTTTCCTTAAAAGTCCTATTCATTTTAGACAATTTTTTTCCTACATTCTAGTTCTAGAGAAATACCAAAAAGTATCTAAAATATGTATGTTGGGGACCTTTATATAGGAACGGAGAGAGTTTATGCACGGAGAAAAAATGGTTCAATTAATAACATACGTACTTCTTAAATTGAAATAACTCTTTAATTTGTAATTGTGTTAGTTAAAGTTGTGGATTATTCCATCCTAACGTACTCTTCACTATTACTCCATAATTCAATGCTGCTAGATACAAATTAGAATGAGTGTTAGAATATCTCAAATGCTTAAGAGATAGACTAGAATAAGTAATTATTATGACATAAATATGACATTGAGAGTTATATCTATTGTTTTAATTTTATATAGAAAAATTAATTATTGGAATTAATGATTTGAGTCAATCTCTTATTCAGAGTCTTAAATCAATTATTATATGGAATTATTCATAGGATCCAAAATCCATAACAGAGTTATAGATCGGTGATATATCAATTTGATATGAGTTAAAATGAAATATACTCCTTCCTCCGTTCCAAAATGATGATCCTTTATTTCCTTTTTGGGATGTCCCAAAATGATGATTTTGTTTCCCTTTTTGGTAAAGAACTAAAAGTGGATTATCACTTATACCCCTCCTTTTTAATGAACAATAAAAGTAAAAGGATGAACAATACAATAAAGTAAGGTTCTTTAGTTTTTCTACCACACTTTCTTAATCTTTGTGCCCAAAAGAAACAAAACCATCAAATTGGGACGGAGGGAGTAATAGATATTGTGAATTATTTCATAGGATCCGACATTTAATATAATTCATTTTTGCTATGATGTAACCACAAACAATAATAAAATTTTACTAAATGACTATGTATTAAATTTATCACTTATTTGTTGTAAAATACATATGACTAGGAGTCTAGGACTTACAAAAACAAACAGTTTACCTACATTTCACTAAACTAATGGTTGGTTATAATCAGTTTGTTATAACCTCCAGATTTAGCCCTATATCATGGGAGGATGGAAAATGAGTTGTAGCCTGTGTAGGCATGGACCCGGGCCGGGCCGGTTCCGGTTCAGGCCTGGGCCGGGCTTTTATTTGAGAATGGGTGATCCGGAACCGTCCCGGGTGGCCGGCGGGTCCGGGTCAGGCCGGGCCGGGCCTCGGGCCACTTCCTATATATATATTTTTTTACTTTTCTAATTAATCCCCCACCCCCCCACCCCCACCCCCCCCCACCCCCACCCCCCCAAACCACCCCAAATGGCCCAAAACACCCAACCCAACCCAGAAAAATAAAAAAAAAAATGAAAAACAAAAAAAAAAGGCCCGGAACCGGGCCTGGCCGGTTCGTCTATTGGGTGACCCGAGCCCGCATCGTAAAACCACCGGTCCGGGCCTACCCGGACCGGTCCCTGGCCGGGCCACCGGTTCGGGCCGATTCCAAACAGTGCCGGTTCGGGCCGGTTCCGGGTCGGGCCACCCGGCCCGAGTCCATGCGGGTGATAAAATACTAACTCATGGTTATAACCATTTTATCTATCATTACCATTATTCGTTAAGTAATGATTAAATGTGTATTTATGCTTTTCAGGATAAAGAGTTATGCTCCAACTCATGTTAGGTTTGTTGCCAATGTCTTACGGAGTAGTAATTTGATAACTTAGTTGGTGCATTTTGCATAGAGAAAACTCTCAAATTAATAAGCCCTTGTACTTTGCCCAATTCCTCAATTAAGCCCTGATACTTATTTATCACCCAATTAAACACCTGAACTCTTAAAAAGTGTTCAATTAAGCTAATTAGTAGGTAACCAACCAGTTTCCCGGTTAGCTACCTGCGTGGCAGTCCATGTGGCGGACACATGTCGTTTTACTTTTTTCCTTTTATTTCTTTTTCTCTTTTTTCTTTTCCTCTTCTTTCTTTCTTTTCGTTCTCTTCCTTACCCGGTGGTATGCCTGCAACTTTTGTCTCCCTTTGTCTTTCCTTTCTACCCCTTCCTTCCTTCCCTACTTGCTTAGAATTTTCGGCCGCCCCTTTCTTTCTCGACAGCGTGTTCTTCGGCGGAGACAACGAGGGTGGAACTATAGTGCACAGAATGGTGCTCCGGGTCGGGTTGGAAGGATTACACGGAATGAAGCTGGACGGCGGCGTCCTCAACTTAATTGAAGAATTGGCCAAAGTAGGGTTGGACTCGGGCCGGGCGGCCCGAACCGGAACCGGCCCGGTCACTGTTTGAACCGGCCCGGCCCATGGGCGGTTCGGGTCGACCCGGCCCGGTGGCTACCGGTTCTGGGCTCGGGCCTTCATTTTGGTGAACCGGCCCGGCCGGTTCGGGCCCAGTCTGGGCCGGATTTATTTTTTTTTTGAATTTTTTTTAAGTTTTTGGGTTGGATTGGGTATTTTGGGCCATTTGAGGTGGTTTGGGGAGGTTTGGGGTTGAGGGGGAGGGTAGGGGGTTGATTAGGAAAACCCAAAAAAAAAAAATTATATAGAACCGAACCGGGCCCGGTCCAGCACGGCCCGAACCGGACCCGGGGTTACCCTGGCCAGTTCCGGGCCTCCCCTACCTTGAACCGAGGCCCGGCCGGTTCAAAGCCCGAACCGGGCCCGGCCCGGAACCGGTCCACCCCTAGGCCAAAGTATGAGGACCTATTTGAGAGTTTTCTCTTTTGCATATTTCAGGATATTGTGATGCGACAATAATTAATGTTTGAGAAAATAATACTACCTCCGTCCCGTATTGATTGTCCACTTTTAATTTGGCACAATTATTAATAAAGTGGTTAAAAAATAAAAATTGTGGTTGAGATTTGGGTAGAATAAAGTGAAATGATAAGGACCACATATTTCTCGCCAAAAAAGGAAATAAGACATTCATTTTGGGACAACCCAAAAAGGAAAGTAAGAAACCCAAAATGGGACGGAGAGAGTAATAATATATTGTAATTTATTATTATTTTTAGAAAAAAGAATCTTTAACATCAACAAGTCAATGCAAATGATGTTCTTAACTTTTTGCACACATGACCTTTTTGCGTTGACAGTGTCGACACAAAAGACAAATTGAATTTGCATCAACTAGTGTCAACACTGGTAATATTTTTGAGTGCAATTTTGTTCACCCCCCTCCTTGGAGGGTGAACATCACCCCCATAGCTCAAATGTTGTCATTTGGCATTGCATTTCTTTTTTTGCCACATGGCAAGCAAATAGGGAGGGGGTTATGTTCACTCTCCAAGGAGGGGTGAACAAAATTGCACTCAATATTTTTTGTGTTGAGGCATTTGCATCGACACATTAACGCCCACTTTTCGACACAAAGTATTTATATGGACTGACTTTTTGCTTAGTGTAGAACTGTAGATCCTTAACCCCAAGTGTTTCAATTCATCAATAACTGGTTG